CACACACACATACATGAACAATGAAAGAGAAAGAGAGAAGGAAAATGAGACAGCAAACAGGAAGCTTGGCACGTAAAACCGACTTGAAGATTCCCTTGCGTCCTGAGTATAAAGGGAGGGTGTTTTGGTGGGGAAGGGGCGGGGGAGGGGGAGGGGCAAAGGGAAAAGGAAGGAAAGAAAGGAAGAAAGAAAGAAAGAGAAAGAAGAATGGCAGAGAAGTAGGGAAGAATGGGAATGTGTTGGGGAGGGGTTAGGGGTAGGGGTAGGAGTAAGTATAGGAAAGGGTAGAGGGTCAGAGGGGTGGGTACCGAGTGGTGGATATGTGTGCGGTCGATGCGGCTAGACACCCACCCCTTGACTTCGTGTCGAGGGCGAAGCAAGGTCGGATCAAGGTCAGACTTTTCCTCAATTTGCAAATGCCCGATCATTTGTGTTTTTGTTTTTTTTATTCACATCATACGATCTCGATGCGATTTATTCTTATTTTTTTTCTTCTTTTATTTCTTACTCTTCTCATTTTATTTTCTTTTGTTTTATATTTACGGAGTGGGGTGGGGGGGCGCCGGGGGATGTTAGTGGATATTTTAAAACGCGAAAGAAAAAGAAAGAAAGCAAAACTTATTCTTCGTTATAATTAATATTAAAAAAAAAAAAACTAAAATTAATTATAATGTTCTTTTTTTTTTTCTTTCATTTTCTTTTTATTTTTCACAGTGGTTATTACATTTAAACGTGCGCGCACATTTATAATTATTATTCGTATAACAATAATTTGTTCGTATAGGAATACATTTTATTTTTTTTTTAATAAGTGAATATAACGATTGTTTCGATATAAATTTGAAAAGGAACAAAACAAATGTCTATATTCATTCGTAGGAATGAATTATTAAAACAAAACAACAACAAAATTACAATTGATGTACTTAAATAATAATTATTTCGAATTTTACTTTATGCATAATGCGTAATATATGTGGTGCACGTGCGCATTAAAAAAATTCAACATTATAAGAATACAATATAATAATTCCTATCCAAATACCATATCACTTACATAAATATACACTTAACTTAACGCACTGATACACGTATACACACACATATATTTAATTAATATTAAGATTGAAGAAATCATGCGCGTTGGTCTTGAATTTATTATCTAATCAACGGTATAAACGACTTTCGAAAGCGAATCTTAAATTTGGCCAAACGAACGCGAAATTTTGTTCAAAGTTGATTATGTGTGTTCGGCCTTATCTTTGCCTTTTAACCGATTCTCTTGCATTTTCTCGAAACTCTTTAAAAAAAATAAAAAGAAAAAAAAGGAGGAGAGAGAGAGAGAGAGAGAGGAGACCAAAAAAAAAAAATGTGTAGAAACATTGACCTTGAAAATTCGTAAAACAAACTTATCGTACGAGATTACGCGTTACGAATTTTAATGACGAAAACAGAAACGGTTCGTTATATTATTATGCTCGTCGTTTTATTCAAGAATCACCATCACCATCACCATCACCACCACCACCATCACTACCACCACCACCAATCAGTTGGGGGTGGTTTAACGAAGTAAAAAATATTCTAACGAGTATAACGTTGTTTTCTTCAATTCCACGAAAATTATTTTCTTTCGTCTCAACTTATCTACTTACTTACCCCCCCCCTCACCTGTACCCTTTCCCCCTCAATTTTCCTCCTATTCCACCTTGTCTTCCACCTTCTTTCTTTTCCTCCTGTTTCCCCCTTTTTTTTCTTTTTTTTGTATTTTACTTTTTCCCCTTTCATATCGTAGGAACTCTAACGCGAGAATAGTTAGGTGAATGGTAAGGAGTGAAGGGGGGCGGGGGAGGGGGAGGGGGAGAAAAGGGGGAATCGGGGTAATTCGAGTCGATTCGCACGATAAGAATTGTAAGAGAAAAAGTCATCTGAAATGCACCCACGCTTGTTGGAATAACTTGGACGAGAGTACTTGAGGGTTAACCGAGGTCCTTAAACCCTTCTTCGGACACCCACTATTATTCATATTCACGTATACAACTTTATCGTATATATATATATATATATA